AACGTTGAAATGCAGAGCATCTACAGCAAGAAGGAATCAACCTGCTACTTCATCGAAATGAACATGAAACGAAGAGCACTGCGCACTCGTCTAGGTCTAAAGTGATGTCTATAAAGATCGAAAGCGAAAAAACGGATATTATTAAATAAAATTCCCCAATCAATATTTAAAACAACTGTAAGTCATAATTTACCACAGATGACAGCTAAGAATAAAAATCAAAAACTAAGATAAATGCCGAAAAGAATCAAAAACTAAGATAAACGCCAGAGTCAAAAAAAAACCAACCTAATCTTTTCAGAAGAGGTTCTCTTTTTAATCTGGGCCACAAGGTCCTCCGCGATCTTCTTTCGTTCCTCGATATTATTCTCATAAACCGCCATGAACAGTCGATATGACAGTAGCCTGTAACAATAAACATTACACACGATAATCCTTTAACCGCTATGCCCTATTGACAACAGAATGATTCACATGATCCATACAAACCCTACCGTTCATAGTCAATATCGTCCTTCAAATAAGGTACAACCCTCTTCATTATATCCACAACAGTCTGCGATTTCATGCCACTTTCTAACAATGAAGAAATAAATCGTAATTCTAAGGGAACAGCTGTTTCTTCTTTACCATTCGCCCTGCAAAAATTGGAAAGATAGTAACTCTAGAGCCTGAAAGACAAGAATAACTAACCTTAGCCATTCCGCTAATTTAAATCCGATATTTGCTGCTTGCCTACTACGCCCCCACTGAAGCAGAGTAGCCGTGGCGGCGTCATGAGCTTTCGATAACTGCTGCGCAAAACTACTCGGTGACTGCAATATATCTCGCAAAAACTCTTGACTTCCACTCAAATCCTCCACTGATAACCAATCAAGCAATGAACTTTTCGCATCGCTTTTCTCGGTTCCCGCCAATTCTGCCAGATCGAGCATCTACAATCGCGTAAAATAGATGAAAATGCAGAAAAAACCCGAGGCTGAAATACTTACGGAGAAGAACCTTTGCGTATGTAGGGCGCAGACAGATGTAGCAGCGCCATCGAGCGTCGATGGATCCGCTAACAGACTTGCAATGTGCAAGGCTTCTCCGGACACAACAAGACTCCAGCATGCTAATCTAACAGGAGTAACATTCATCTAAAAATAAACAGATAAATCGACAGACAGATTATCTCTATTGAATATTGACCGTAGGATGTGACTAGATGATTGACGCTATTAAGCATTTATTTGACTCAGATACACACTAACATCAACAACTATAATTTAATCGAAGAGATGTTTAAAAACGAAAAATAGGAAAAATTCTGATGAACTGAACAGATTTCAACTCTCGAGATACTAAATCATCCATTCAATAAAGAAAATTACATTATATTAGTTTCAATATGCAGCATGCGTCTTACGACGACGCCCATGTCCGCATAAACATATCACACCACTGACTGTAAAGTGATCTGGTCAGATAGTCTCACGTAATTTCAGCTTAATGCGTTTATTTTGCCAAAAAAAAAACAAACATTCTTGCCAGTCGAGTTATGATG